AAAGAAACAACTAGTAGTGAAAAGACAACCTACAGCACGGGAAACATTTTGCCAGCTACTCCTCTGACAGAAGACTAACATTTAGAATATATAAAGAACTAAAAATTTTAGACTCATCACAAAATAAAAAATCCAATAATAATGTGGGCAACTGAAATGATGAAACCTTAGAAGTTCAAATGGCCAATAAATATGTGAAAAAGTGTCAACTCAAGTCAACTCAAGCCAATACATATATGAAAAAGTGTCAACTCTAGTCATTACGGAACTGCAATTTAAAACATGGCAATTCCATTCAGAAAGAATGACTATCATCAATAAATCAAATAATTACAAATGCTGGGAAGGCTTCCGGGAAAAAGAACCCTTCTACCCTGGCGGTGGGGATGTAAACTAGAACAGCCTCTATGGAAATCAGGATGAAGATTCCTCAAAAACTGAAAACAGAAATGCCATTAAACTCGATTAGTCCCCTTCTAGGGCTCTTCCCCAAAGAGTGAAAGACATTATATTACAGACATGTGTACATCCCCGTGTTTATAGCAGCTCAAATCATAATAGCTAAACCATGGAAACAGCCTATATGTCCATCAACATATGAATAGATAAAGTAAATGTATTTATATATAATGGAGTATTATTCTGCCGTAAAAAATAGACTTGAGTCATTTGTAGGAAGATGGTGCACCTTGAAGCCTTGATGGTGTTAAGTGAAATAAACCAGACACATAAATATCACATGATTTCTCTTATATATGAGAAACTCAAAATGTAAATAAATAATAGGAAACAGATAGCTCTTTTGTAAAAGGGAAGAGAAGCCAGAGATGTGGGAGGGAAGGGTTGAAAAAGGTTTAAGATGTGTTACTGACATATACTTCCCATAAGGAAGGTAATTATTATGTACCACAAATATATACCAGTAAAAAAAAAAGGACAATCCTATAAATAAAGAGAATTCAGCACAGGTAACTGCTTTTAAAATTCTATTGCAATTACAATGGTGATGTTGTGAGCTCAAGATTGTTTTTATAGTATTTTAAACTGAAAATCTCTTTCCTTATGGGAAGCGCTATTGGAGGGAGTCCTGGTAGCACCCCACACCCCCAGCACTTACCGGATCTCCCCTCAGACCCTTTGCTCCATGGTCACCTTTGCTCCCTCTCTTTCCAGGGATTCCCTGAAGTTAATACAAATCACAATAAGAACAAGGTGAAGATTTTGAATCAAATGAATAAGAATAAACAAAGAGCTAAAGCTCTCCCTAGTTTGAATAACTGAGTATTTTCTAGTGAGGTTATTTTTAAGTTGGAAAAAAAGGAGCCACCAAGAAAGCTTCAGGCATCATATAAATAATTGAAGAGTGAACTTAATTATGTACCACGTGGTGAACTCTGGTTCAGACACATTTGTCTCTTTGCTTTGTTGTTCCAACTAGTTTAGGAACCAGGTATTGTTTATCATCTTTTTCATTTTTAATGAGGCACCTGAGACTCAGAAAGATCATGCAGTTTTCTTAAAGCAGTTACATCAACCAAAAAATAGATTTTTCACTCAATTTTCACACCCGAGGGGCACAGCAGATAACGGAAGCAGGGCTTTAGCGGGCATTCAGATGGGTATGAGTGGCAGACATCCCAGGGGCTGCCTTGCCCCTCAGACCCTTGTCAGTATCTTCCTGCTGTTCTCAGGGTGGCAGCTCCTTCAATGGCCCCAATGTTTTCAGTCCTTTTTGTATCTGAGTCCTTTTCATGTAACTCTGAAGTGATTTCCAATTGCGGTGGCCAAGATTCCCTTCTCCCAAATTGGACTGCCTGACTTAACGTGGTGAAGAGACAGAGACAGAGACGTTGCTGGGGAAGATGCACAACATGACCTCAAGGTGACTGGAGACCCTGTGTGTTTCTTCTTACTGTCTTCCACTCTGCCCTAGCCATGAAAATGTCATGGCCAACCTCACCAGCCAGCTCCTGGCCCCTGGAGGGTAAGAAACAAATGGAGCAAAGCCAAACTTACAGATGCACAAATCAAGGCCACCTGTGTCTTGCCTGAACTGCTTGAGGCTCCAGCTGAATCAAGTGTTTACTGTTGTATCTGATTAGAATTTAGTGAATGTGTTTCACAGGAGAATTCTGAGGCAACAGTTCCCTGACACACCTAGGGTATCTGTTTTACTCTACTAATTACGCCTTCACTTTCAAATACAGTCTTTGTGCTTTGCCTTCATTGAATCCCTACCTGGGATCCTTCATCGCCCTTTTCACCTTTTCTTCCAGGAAGACCACGGTCACCCTAAAAAGCATAGAAGGAAAAAGTCAAATTCCCATTGTCTTAATGGGAAATAGCTCAAGAGGGTCTCTGTTGTTCAGGGAAAATCTGTACCTGTTCTCCATTTAATCCATGGATTCCACGTTCCCCAATTTCTCCCTGAAAAGACAGATGCAATTAGAACACAGTGCATCATATCTATATGGAACAAAGTCAGGCACCAAACAAAACTCATCTAATTTTGCATTTCTTTTTAGGCTATGCCTGAGTATAGATTACTTTCAATGATAGACACTGTCAACAAACAGCATGTGCTGCCGGCAATAAAAGACTAAACAAAATGAGATGACCAGCGTGAAAGTGCAAAGGAAGGCAAACAGAAGGGTTAGTTGTAAACTCTACCAATAATCTCAAAAATTAAATAATACTGGGTAAGAGCTGAGCAGATAAATGGATGGGCCTGGTGCCATACCTCTTCTCCATTTAGTCCTCTGTTTCCCTGCAAATAGAAAGGATAGTAGTAATTTATGTAGCAAAATGGGTTTAAGTGTTGAGGAGCTGTTTCAATGTCTTATGTAGTTCTCACCTTGGGACCTTTGGTGCCATGGCATCCCTTAGTGCCTTGCTCTCCCACTGGTCCAGGGGCTCCTCGCTCACCCTGAGAAAAAGCAAGTAGCTAGATGAGCCATTCTACTGTCATCTGGATTCAATGTTGGACATTTGACAAGGTTTTGCTGTTGTGGGGAAAAAAATGTGTGGCTGGTCGTGGCTTGTAATTTAGAATTTATGCCTGAAAAGCATAAATATGGCTGTCAGTCTGAGCTGCTTGGATGCCAGCCTTCTGCTTTGGATCTCACCTGCCTATTGCCTGTGTGGGCTTCTTTCTCCCAAGTGGTCATCAAGTTATGTCTTTTCCACCTGTTCAACATATCAATTCATGCCATCCCAAAGCCAAATTAAGAACTCTTCACCTATAGGACTTTTACCTGCAGCCCCTGCCTCTTCAGCATCCATAACATTACTTGGGCATCCTTTTGGATCATCCCCTCTGTTTTTACTCCAAGCTTAACATCACTCAGTGACTCACTGTCAGTGAAGGACATTATGCAAAACATCTCCAGGGCATTCAAGATTCCCAATGATGGGGTTGGTGAGATAGCTCAGTGGTCTGAAGCGCCTGCTGAGGCAAGCTTGGGCAGGCACAGGGAACTGAGGTTTGATCCCGGCACCACATGCTGCACCAGCCCCGCTGAGCCAGCCAAAAAAAAAGAAAAGAAAAAGAGATTCCCAATGATGCCACCTTCTCCTGTGGCGTCCTGGGTTCTAGACATGTGTCATTTTGCAAACATGCAGCCGGCTGGGTGGCTTCTGCACATGCTGCCCTTTCTGCGGGAAAATGCTCTTTCCCACACACTTCACTGGAGAAATTCCTACTTGTCCTTCACGTCTGCCCGAGTTTGCCTTTGTTTACAGCTTTTCTCCCTCAAGCCTTAACTTCCACCATGGTTGTCCCCAAGGTGGTTATGTCCCTGTGCTCCCACTTCCTATGCTCCTCTAGTGTAGCCAGGGGCCTAAAAGCTGGAACCTAGGGTCCCTTTGGTCTCACTTCTAGTCTGGAGGTTCCCTAAGCCAGGAGCTATAATTTTTCTTTACTTTTCTCATTCTAAGGCCTAGCACTGTGTCTGGCATCTAAGAAACTTAATGTATACTGAATGGATGAACAAATGAGTTAATGAGTGAAGTCTTTATGGTAAGTTAGTAAAGTACTCATGGGCACGAGAAGCAAAGTACAAAATTAAGAGGGACCTGGTTTTTGCATAAAAATCTTTATAATCTGACCTTTATTTCCCTATGAAAGGAAACAATGGATTACATATTCTGTGTATATTTTTAGGAATAAATGGAGGTGGAAAACAATCCTTAACTTACAGCAATGCCTTCCTCCCCCAGGTGTCCTTCGCTGCCCTTAATGCCTGTGGGTCCCTGGAAATAAGAGAAGGGAGACAACATGAACACACCATAGCAAAAACCCAGAAGTGCTCAAGCACAATTCTTCAGCTTTACAATTTTAACTTCATGTGGAAAGTAAGAGTTTGGGGAAGAAAGTCCTCCCTCTCCAACCCATATTGCATCTACACACATAAGGAGAAATAGAACTTTCAGACAAGAATACAGACAATTCAAGAGTGTGTTGTGCATGTGTGCATGTGTGTGCATGTGGCGTGTGTGTGTGTGTGTGTGTCTGTGTCTGTGTGTGTGCATGTTTGCCTGTATGGGTCATAATATTGTCTGTAATGCTCTTCTGGATTATATATAGAGCTCAGCTGGGTTTTTTATCTGGACAAATATCCAAGCAAATACAACTGTATTGGCTCTTGAAAGACCATAATTGCCTTCTTTCATTACAAAAAAAAAAAAATTATTTTAGGATTTATGTCACACATAGAAAAACAGACCACACACAATTTCTTCTATTCTTCCTGAGTCCTCAGTTTTTGTTTTGTTGTAAACTGTATTTATCTTGCAGGAAATTAAAGCATTCAGGAAATAATTAGTCCAAAAGCTTCCTTCAGAAGCTCAGTTCTGGTGACTTGAGAGTTAAGTTGTGGTCTATATATTATTCAAAAATCAAACACATGGGTAAAACAAGTATATCAAGGTTGTTAAACATATCCCATACTACTTACATATACTGGAACATTTCTGAAGGTCAAAAATAGTACTTTTATATAAAAAAACATAGAATTTTTAGTTAGAAAATCCTTTCTATCCCTGAAAATAAGACCCGACTAGAGAATAAACATCCGTGAAAGCTAGAGAGGACCAGGGCTAAACAGATTTGGAATTCCTCAGATGGTAGCAAATACAGATCACAGAAGGAAAGTTGGAAACAAAAGAATCCTACGCATTCACTCTAGGGCACTTCCACTTTAAGGGTCAACACGTTTCTGAAAGAATGGTAGAAACCCACATCATGCCATGGGGGACATGTATGTGATTGGGGAAGCAATGCCAGGAAGCGTAATATATTTCTTTCTTTCTGTCTTTTTTTTTTTTTTTTTCCAGTACTGGGGATTGAACTCAGGACCCTGAGCTTGCCAGGTGAGCACTTATTCTACTGAGCTATCTCCCCAGCCCTACATAACGTATTTCTCATGCATCAAAAATGCCAGCCTCATCCAGCCTGCCATCACTCTCCCTTGCTCATGGCAAGGCTGGGCTGCCTGGGGCTGGCTTCTTGGGTTTTCTACTTTGTAAGGCTGATTGTTTTCCAGCTGGGTCTTATTTTCCAGGTAACACAGTATATGAATTACTGCTACTGATTCTCTTTATAAATACTTGGGCTTTTGCTGTGTGCATGCATCTGTGACACTCAAAGATCTTACGAGCTACAGTGGCAGCATGACCTGATGCAGCTTTTCAGCCAACTACACAACATATCTTCTTGATATCAATGACTCTCCCATCTTTACAGATGGAGACTGAAATGAGCCGCCGCCATCCGGGGACTTTCACCATTCAACACAAGCAAATACTGTGGAGTTTGCTGCATAGGTGTCATGACTGCTTGAATAGAAGTGACCAATATCTTGACAGTCCTTTCTCCAGAGATTTCATTAAGAGCTTTTTTTAAAAATAAAGAAAATTTTAATTAAGAATGCCAAAGGAAATTGACAACTATTTGACGAAAAAGGACTAATAAATGGTCACCTTTGAGGCTGTACCTAGAAATTAAAATCATCCCTCATTTCTGTCAACGCCTGCGTTGAAGAAGTACACTGAATTCTTAGAAGTAATCCCCTGATTGGAGCTGAAATTACCTTCTTCCCTGGTGATCCAGGATATCCCGCGGTGCCATCCCCTCCGATGCACTTGCAGAACAAACAGCAGCATGTCCTCTCGGCGATGTTGATCTTGGCAGAGTGTGAGAAATATGTTATGTTAGCTGGTGTTGCTTCCCTAATCCCATACACGTCCACCCATGGCGTAATGTGGGTTTCTACCATCATTTCAGAAACCTGTTGACCCTTAAGGTGACCGTGCTCTAGAGTGAGTGCCCTGGATTCTTTCATTTCTAACTTTCCTTCTGTGATCTGCATTCACTACCATCTGAGGAATTCCAAATCTGTTTAGCCCTGGTACACGGATCTGTCAGTGTGGCTGCCTGTTCTCACCCCTCCAACCCCAGCACTCACCATGGTGCTGCCAGTGACCCTATACCACACAGCCCCAAATCCTTTGTTTGATAAAACAGTACGTTCCATGTTCTCCTTTCTGCATTTTGCTAATTCATACTATGTGGGATGATTCAGGCAGTAGCCATTGCAATGCTGCTTGGAATGGTCCAGCAGTCAACCCACTTCCAGAATACTTGTTTTAGGATTTTAAAAGCACCTACACATGCTAACATTTTGGAGGCACTGGGTCCAGACACCGGGGTCCTGGAGAGAACAGTACTCTTCACACGCTGCCCACAACCCATAGCATATAACTTAGAAGGTGATTACGCTTCATCTTGGACTTCGTCATCTTCTGAATGGCTGGCATATTGCATTGCATTTTTACAATTAACCCATCAGATTTTAGGAAAATTCTGTTTGCAATAAATGGTGTGATTCACTTTAGTAGGATGGACTCAAACTTTATTTTGCAAAATTGTCATTATATTTCTAGTGCAATGAAAAATAAAATTCTTTTTATTACAGTCATTTAGTGATTTTTCCCTTTGACTATATAATAGTTTTGTATAATTCTTTTCTTGTATATTTCTTTTTTTGTAATATTTCCTATTGTGCTTCTTTTTGACAGTAAAAGTATTCTTATGTTCTGGGTCCAGGGAGATAGCTCAGTAGTTTAAGCTCCTGCCTGGTAAGCACAAGGGCCCGAGTTTGATCCTCAGCACCAAATGCTGAGCCAGCCACCAAAACTGGGCATGGTGGTGCACACCTGTAATCCCAGTGTTGCAAACACTCAGGTAACAATGTTATCACTCTTTTTTTTTTTTTTTTCAGAACTGGAGATTGAACTCAGGTCCTTGTGCTTACCAGGGAAGCACTTATTCTCCTGAGCCATCTCCCCGACTCCTGTAATCCCCTGTAATCCTCATGTTGACGAGGTTGAAACAGGAGGATCACTATGAGTCTGAGCTATGTAGCAAGACCCTGTAACAAACACATAAGTTTAAAAAAAAAATCTTGTTTTCCTGAAGATCTCAAAAAAAAGCCATTTATGGCTTTTGGTGTAATATATAAAACCAAGCAATGTGGCTTCTATGATTTCATATTAGATACTACAATTTTATTTAATTATCAAGGTTTTACAGCACCAAATCTATTTCTTAACAGATTAAATTTTAATCTTTTAAAATTTTCCTGAGTTTGATCCCCAGTACCAGAAAAAAGATGAAAATTGCTCTATTTCTAAAATTTAGTTTTTCTTATACAGAATTTAACTTATATTCTTGTTTTGAAGAAAAACTTCCTCTTTCTATCAATTACCAATACAAATTTTAAAGAGTATTAGATTAAAAAATAAATTTCACAAAATAAATCCTTTCCACATAGAACAGGAATACCAACAAATTTTCTTTTTTTTTTTGAATTATTTTTACATAATTGCTACTTTGAATAAATTGCTTTTACAAAAGTTTTATTGGTAGAAAATAGTAAAGAGCAGAAACTAGCATTCATTGGAAAGTATTCTGATATACTGATGAAAGATTTTGTATTGGATTATTTTGCTGAATTCATGTACCTACAACATTTAAATGGCAAGGGAATACCCATTTCTGACAAAACTAAACAAAAAAAGGGGATATAAATGAAGGACCATTTTATATCTGTGTATACAAAATAGGATAGATATACAGCTAGAAGAAAGATTTGTACTAATAGTGTTTGGACAGGATATCATGTCTGCATCTTGTACTATGAATAACTAATAGGAAGACAACAATATGCAATATATTAACTATTGTAACTGTCCTACTAACCTGTTTTGAAACTATCTCATTGCTATTTGTTTCTCAATAAAATTAATAAAAAAAGATTTTACAAATTAAAGATAAATGTAGTAGCATAACCGTATAATCCCAGCTCCTATAGAGGTGAAGGCAAAAGGACTGAGAGTTTGAGGCTATGCCAGGCAACAAGTGAGACCTTGCCTCAAAAATGATTATAGCTCAATAGAAGGATATTTACCTGTGTTTAATCCCAAATACAGCCACACCAACACAAAAAAAAAAAAAAAAAAAAAAAAAAGACTTTAAAGAAATCGCTAGTCATTCATTCAAGTGTTGTAATGTTTGATAACACTTCACCACTCAAGTCTGAATGGTGGTTATTTCTCAAAGAAATAAAATGCAACTTACATGGGTATTCAGTTCTAAAAATAGAATTACGGCAAGAATCTCAGAGTGAGAAGACAACCATGAAAATCTCTCACTTGCTCATGAAGTACCACACCTGAGGTCTATTTTCATTTCTTTCCTTTAGCACCAGAGCAGACTGCTTTGTCTCTTGCTGAACTCCACGTGTAGTCTGCTGTTACTTACAGGTCCTGGCACCGGGAAACCCAGCTCTCAAAAAGCTGAGCAAATGAGCCGCGCACTTAGCTCTTCAAGGCACGTGAACCCAGCGTTGGGAGGACTCTGGGAGCCGTGCTTACAACTCAGCTTCGTTTTAGCGCTTATATTGATAGTCTGTAACAAATATTACGCTACTTAAATATTTTCCTCCTTTCTCTTTCTTGCTAAGCATATCAAACACCTTCTTATTTAGGCCATTCACTGATTTAGAAAAGCACGTCTTCATCACAAATGGTCAGAATTAGTTCAACTTCACAAACAAACTCCATACCTATAGGCAAGCTAGTTAAACTTGGTGACCTTTTCTGAATAACTTACCAGCTGTTTCGACAGCTGAGTCCCAAGGTCCCTCATGCCGATAGTGAACTGTGTCCTGTACTCAAATCCTTTCCCAAATTCAATGTAGAGGAGATCAGCCAGGTCACCAGAATGGGCAGCTCCGTCGAGAGCCACGGTGATGAGGGCATTCAGGCCTGTTGGACACAGCGCATGGCTCTCCAAGTGAGGCAGATCTGGTTAATTTAATCTTTTTGTATATTTATATTGCTATTCATTCTATTGCCCATGCCTTAGAAAGTTAGTAAGTCACATGACCATGACAAAACAACAAAACTGGAGATCAGGGAAATCATAATAGGACTTCCTGTGCTCCGAAGATTTCAAGAAAGGGGGTGAGTTAAAGAACAGCCCAGGGATTCAAATTATACTATTTGTCAAAACCTGGGGGATTCCTGACGCGACAACTTTGGCTTTACTCAGGAGCTTATCAGAAACAGAGTCTCTTGGGATATTACCTATTTTAATCTTTAGATGAAGTACAGAACTGTGTGAGAGAGTCCACAAGGTCCCCCGACTGAGGTCACATGTGTTTAAATATGGGGAGCTGGGGTAGAGGTTCTTGTCTCATTTGATCCTTTCAAATAACATTATCATCATTCCTTTTCCCTTTTTCAAAGATTCTAGAATTTTGAATTTTTAAAAATCTAGTTTCTGAAGTTGATAGGCATTTTCTGATTTCTCAATGAGAATTGGAAGAAAGACAATGGGTCTTAGAGTTTTGGATATTCAAAAGTACTTCCTGGAAGAAACATTCATGTTGTCAGGAAGAGTTACATTTTTTCTCCACAAAAGGAAGACTCAAAACAACAATGATAAGGAAACTGTCTGCCTAAACTAAGTGCTCTAAGGCCTCAATCTTAATTAAAATCTCTATTATAGCTCATGAACAAAGGCTAAAACTTTAAATCAAGAGGAGGCAGCTTTAGTAAATAAAACATAAAATAAAAGCCTTTACACTAAGGCTGTAAATCCAGAGAACTCTGCAGTTCAAGATTGAGGCAAGAGGTCCAAACTCAAAGCCTACATCCCGCCGGCATCTGCTCACTAACCTGAGCAGAAGAAGTCTTTAGTAAGGCCCCCCAGAAGCAGAGCCCAAGATAAAGACTTGGGTGTGCAGGATTTGCTGAATGAGCCCACTCAGAAGATGGGGAGAGGAAAAGAAGAAAACAAAAGGAAGGGAGTGAGATGGTCTCCTCTGAATCCACCTGTAGCCTGATCCAAAGGAGCTCTGGAACAGAAACACTTCCTGTCACCCAGGAGCACAGTGGGGAGCAACTTTCCAGGTGAGGTGGCCTTCATTTGCCACATGCAATTCCTAAGAGGAGCAAGTCATGAGCTCTAGCCGCTGTTGGCAGATGGTGAGCTTGTGAGTGGAGGGGACCTGGCAGAACAATTATGTTCACTTCACAGGAGAGTGTTTCTTAGTCAAATCAGAAATACATAGGTGCATTTTGCTAATGTGATATATA